CCTCCGGGCCGTCCGATCTCCGACCCGCCAGACCCCCGCCAGACCTCCGCTGCCGTCTGCCTCCCCTCCCATACTCTCCCAGCCTGTGCGCTCTGAGGACCCCGCCTGGGAGCCGGCTCTCACCTTCGCTCCCCTTCCCTTTCCCCAACGCCACTCCTTTCACCATCTCGCAGAGGTCGCAGCTCTGAGCCCCGCGCCCTGTCTGACCACATCCTCTCCCCTCCACTTCGAGTCCTGGGGCCAGGCCGGAGCCCGAGACCGAGATCAGCGCAGTGGAGAGAGGGGGAGGATGAAGACGGAAGGGGCCATAGACACTGCACAGGAGCTCCGGGCTTGCTCCGCTCTCTTCTACGGAGGGAGAAGGATGGAGAAGTCAGGGAGAATTTTAGAGGTCGCTCCAAGACGGACAAGCCCTGGGGCAGGAACAAATCTGCGAAGGAGACACGTGCGAGCAGACACGCTCGGGCGCACCATTCCTAAGTGCGAGGTGGGAGCACTGAGCCCCCAGGACTGGCAGACAGGGCTGTGCCGGGGTCCGGGAGGCTGGAGAAGGTGCAAGCCCCAGGGTCACGCAGTCCGCAGTTCTGCGATGGGACCCGCGCGTCCGGAGCGCAGTTCTCCGCAGAGCGGCCTCTGCTCAGGCCCCTGCGGCAGCCGTGACACTTCTGCGCCCCCTGGTGTCCCACCGCGGAGGCGCAGCCCCTCAGTTGTCTGCCTAAAGGGATGGAGGTGGGGATGATAGAGGGACTGGTGTATGGGTCAACTCCCTGCTTGAACAAATCCGCTTGCTAGTCCACGCTTGCCCTGAGAACTGATGAGGTGGTGGCAAGGGACTTCTCTAGACTGGAAGGTCTCACCTGGCTTTCACCAATAACTTGCTGCATGACCTTGATGAGATCCCCTCCCCACCTTTCTGAGCCTCAATTTCTCCATCTCCCTCACAGGACTGCCGAGAGCACCAAACCCAGAATGAGTCCCCGGATCGCCCTCCCTGTGGTCTGACCCGAATCCTATCTGGTGCACAGCCCCTCTCTACAACTCCCTCTCCCCATCGCTTGGAGGGTGACTCAGAGAGCCCCCAGCCTCCCAGCCTCCCCACCTCACTCAGTGATTCATTTGGGTCTTTTCCCCCTGGGGAGCAATTTCCTCAGCATTGAGTCACCAAGCTGGACACAGTCCAAGCACCTGGCACAGGCTTGGCAGAGTCCTGGCTGTCCCTCTGGCTCAGGGGGTAAACTCCACGCTAGAATTCTCTCGCTTTTCTTTCAAGCACCTTCAGTGGCTCTCTACCCCAACACAATAAAGTCCAACCCCTTAACCTCACATGCTAGACCCTGCACAACTCGACCCTGACTTGTCGATTCCAGTCCTGGCCCACCCCCACCATCCCTTACATTTGCTCTTGCTGCTGTCCTCACATCAGTGACTGGCACATCCTCTCTGGGGGCCTCTGCTCATGCATCCAACGCAGATGCCCTCTACATCCACCCAGCCACTCACCAGTCTGGAGCCAGCTAGGGCCCACCTCCCCAGGAGGCTCCCTGGACACTGCCTTAGTTGTAGCCTTTTCGTGTCCTTCCTGGAAGCCATGTCTGGGGGCTCTGGGAAAGTTGGGGACTAAGTGATCTGGGCCAACTCAATGAATTTCACAGCATCTTCAAAATAGGGCAAATTATCCTAGCTATTAATTCTGTCGAGAACATTACATGGGCAAAGATGTGTAAAGGTTCTGCCCTCAAAAGGGCCTTCTGTCCCTTCTGGGGACTCAATTCTCTTCTCTATAAAAAAGCATGACCAGTGTAAGGGCTATTGTAAGACTAAGTCTAAGGCCCAGCACAGGGTACAAATCTCCTGGTAAGCACGTGTCACTAGCTTTGGATAGCCTTGGAAGACACAGGTGCCCAGGAAGTATCTGCTATGGTCGCTGCTTGAAACTACTTGTTCTGTAGGGGAGGCCACCCAGGCCCAGAGTCAAACCTGGCCTGCACAGCCATTTTATGTGTTCCCAACTCTAGGCAGGGCCTCCACAGTTACTATGGCTTGTGTCTAGATGTTCCCCCAAAGCTTCATGTGGTCATAGGTGGGGGCTTTTTTCAGAGATGGCTGGATCTAAAGAATGTGATGCTGGGATTAAGGGTGTGTGATTACTGAATCAGTCTACTGATTGGTTTGGCACTTACCCTAAACCCAGTAGGCTAGATCGAATATAAAAAGGGCTGCTACCTTACTGTTTTTCTACATTTTGGCTGCCATGTAATCCTCTGTGAGGCTTGTCTGCCATACCACCCTGCCTTGGAGCCAGCCAGTTATGGACTGACACCCCTACAACCGTAAGCCAAAATAAACCTTTCCTCCTTTATCTTTGGATGTTGGGTATTCTATCTCAACAGTGAGAAAAGTAAAGCAAGAGTCTTCTCTTCTTTTTTTTTTTTTTTTTTTTTTTTGTTTTTCTTTTTTCTATTTCTTTTTCTTTTTCCTTTTCCTTTCCTCTTCCCCCCTTTCCTTTTGTGTGTGTGTGTGGTTTTTCTCTGGTACGGGGAACTGAACTCACGACCTTGTGCTTGCCAGGCAGGCGCTTTGCCACTGAGCTAAATCCCCAGCCCGAGTCTTCCCTGCTTGAGAAGTTATTTCTTAAATCTTAAGTCTCTCATACTGCAGCTCAATGGCTGGAGTCCCAGGTGTATGCTCTGTGTCTCTCTCATCTCAGAGAGATTCTTTCTGTGTCAGTTTTTTCAGATTTAATAATTCCTCATAGGGTTTGAGTCCTAACTCTGTCAAAGACTTGCTGTGTGATTTGGGGCAGGACACTCTCTACCTCTCCGGGCATCACCTTCCCCATCTGTGAAATGTTAGCACATTCCATAAACAAGTAACTTATTTCTTTAATGTGCTTGGTAGGATATAGGACCCTTTCACAAACATCCTTTCAGAAAATCACTGAAATTCCCCAGTCAGCCCCTTCCCAGTGGCATCAACCAAGCTCCTCCAGTTTGCAAGGTAGAGGGCCTTTGTGAAGCTCTCACAGCTAGGAAGTGGCCCCTGCTTCCCAGGAAGTAGCTGGGACTTCTCTACTCCTTGAAAGATCCCTGCCCTCATTTGAACTCTGCATTCGGTCATTGTATGCTGTTGCCCTCCTCCCGCATCTCATATTGGCATCTCCTGGGAGCATTTAAAAGTCCTGATGCCTGGAACCCCCATCCCAGATATTTTTTAATATCCCCAGGTAATTCTAACCTGCTGCTTGACTAGATGAATCCGTAGCTGATATCTGTACCATAGAGGCAAAGGCCATGGCAGGCTTCTAAGGACTGAATGTGTCTATCTGGGGCTGCAAGGCTTTAACATTTATTCAACACTTACTATGTGCTTCATATTTTATTTTTGCAACAGTGATATAAAGTGGGTGCTATTAGCCACATTTTACAGATGATGAATAATGAGGCACAAAGTAACTTGCCCATAGTCCCACAGCTCATAAACAGTGGAACCAAAATTCAAAGGCTGTTTGGCTGGCTGGCTGGCTGGCTCTAATCTGTGCCTTAAATTCATGTCCTGCCTCTTAAGCAAAGGCAGATAAGAAAAACAGACTTTCCCAGCTCTCCTTTGTCCCCAGCAATGCAGTGGTTGAAAGTCCTGCAAGGCCAATCCCTGGATCCTCTGTCGTTTTCTGACACTATGAGGCCCAGCTCCACCTGTCCTCCACGCTCCAGCCTAGGAATGCCCGGCCCAGCTCCAGAAGACACTGCTTCCTGTTTTGGGGGCCTCATGGCCCATACCTAGTGGCCTAGCTGCCCTAGACTGGGTACTTCAGGAAAGGGTGACTCAGCCAAACAGCTTTCAACCTGAGTACAGGGCCCACTGACCAAAGAGCCTTGCTTCAGTCCTGATAATAATGACACTTCCGATTGGTGGGCTCTGCACTTACAAAGCACTTCCTTGGGAGACCCTGCTTTACAAATAAGAAAATGAGGCTCCATGGGGCATAGACACTGCCCAAGATTATACAGCTGTCAGTACAGGAACGTGGACCCAGGTTAATGACACCACACCTGGTGCTTTTACCACTAAGGACAAGCATTACTGCATAACCCAGGGCACATAAGGAAGTCGCTGTGGCCATGCCATGGCTGTCTCCTGCTCACAGCCTTCACTGGGCTCCCCACGGCCTCCAACGAAACATCCAAACCCTCAGCATGACACCCAAGGCTCATCCCAGATGGCTTTTCTGCTGTTTCTCCTGCCCCTTCCTGATGTCAGCCGTGCCCAACGCCGCACTGTACCCTGAACTTCTGGCTTTTCTTCTGCCTCCTTGCCTTTGCTCAACCTGTTCTGCTCCTATGCCAAACAGCCTTCCAAGGGCATATCTGCCTGTCGGTATCATGCATTTGTGCATTCACTCATGCCACAAACACCTACCGAGACTTTGCTCCAGGCCAACTACTGAGGATAAAGAAGTTGAAAAGTCAGCTTTTCTTGTGATATAGAGGAGGGAAACTGTCATTGGTTGAGAAGTAGCACCAGCATGGTCTTCCCAGTGAACACTGTCCTCTTCCATCCTCACACACTCTAGACCTCCCTGGAGAGAGGGACTATCTGATCCTTCCCCGTGTCCCCACAGGCCAATCCAGGGTGAGAACACTGGTGCCCAGGAAGCCTGGTTTAAGTAAAAGAATGGCTTTCATGCCAATATCTCTCCATCTCCCACAACAAGCAGTGGCAGCCCC